CTGGCGACTAGCCACTGCTACTGCTACTGCTACCGCTGGCGACTAGCCACTGCTACTGCTACACGACTACTGCTACTGCTGCTGCTGCTGCTGCTGCTGCTGCTGCTGCTGCTGCTGCTGCTGCTGCTACGGCGGCGGCTACTACTACTGCAACACCGACGACAACGACGACGACTACCAATGCAAACAACGCTGGCGTTACTAACACTTACTCTCTGACCCTGGGCTGCGAATGACAACACTGGCGCGCTGACGCCACAGATGACCCAGTGACGATCATGCTAGCGATCCATACATTGCACCTGCCTGTGCCACCTGGCAAGTCAGTCTATGATCACACAAACACACACACACACACACATTCTATCCATCACATCTATCTAACCTGTTCTGTCTGTCGCTCGACCGACCGATCTATCTGTCCTGTCTGCCCAATTATTGGTCTATGTATCTACCTATCTATCTATCTATCTGTTTGTCTGTCTGCCTGTCTGGCTACGTACCTGTCTACCTGTCTATCTACCAGTCCGTCTTTCTATGTGTGGATCTATCCACCTATCTGTGTATTTCTGTATCTATATACTTGCCCATCTATCCACCTATCCACCTATCTACCTACCCACCTACCTATCTACCTATCTACCCATCTACCTAGCTATCTATCTGTCTATTCGTTTGTCCACCTGTCCGCCTGTCTGCCTGTCTGTCCATCTATCTATGTATCTGTCTGTCTGTCTGTCTGTCTATCTGTCAATCGACCTGCCTATCTGTCGAGCTGTCTCTCTATATATATATATATCTCTCTCTCTCTCTCTCTCGATCTAGCTGGAAGTAAATTATGTACCAAGCTACTTAGGTATTATCTATGTATTTGTCCATCTTACTATCGATTTAACTATCTATCTGTCCCATCTCAGTGTGGCTATCTATCTGTCCATATATCTATCTATCTATCTAGCTATCTATCTATCTATCTATCTATCTATCTGTCAATCTATCTGACTAGCCAGACGTATATTTATCGTCGCGGGCCTGACCTTAGTGCCCGAGGCCGTTTTGGGTTCTAGGGTAGATTGAGTACCGGCTCATGATGGCCCTATTTCGGGTTTGTTGTCTCAGTGGTTTGAGGCAGCAGTCCAACAAGACGCTTTCAACTCTCAACACTCGCCATAAGGTTGGGGCCTTAGCAAATAGAATAGGGTCTTGGGTTATATTATACTATAACTATAATAAGGAATCCCCACAATAGTCTTGGTAATTTAGGCTTCTATAGTACCGGGTCTCGGTTGTGGATCAGGCTGGGCGGTTAGCACCAGTGACTGCACCAGCGGGCATGCCTACAAGGCTGCGCAGGGTCCAGGGTTGAGGTCTTCAGGGTTTAGGGTTTAGGGTTTAGGGTTTGGGGGTTTACGGGTTTAGGGTTTGGGGGTTTAGGGTTTAGGGGTGTGGTCTTCGGGCCAACGGCAAGTACATTCGTGAGTGAAGCGACGACAAAACAGCCTTTCTCCAAACATGATGGGGGTTCGTGGGTTCATCAGAGGTTTAGGATGGGTTGCGGGCAGTCTCGGCTGTAGACACATAAACAGGATGCGCTGCGCAAAGAATCGGATAACCTGTGGGTAGTTCTCCGAATGTGGGTCCCTTCTAGGGTCCCTTTATAAGGGTGCCGACTGAATTTTGGGGACCGCACAAGGGACCCTAATTTAGAGAACTACCCATGCAGCAACCACCCGAGAGCGACAGTCCTTTAAACCTTGCTAGGGCCTCTGAAAGCACTGTAAGACTGGCACCTAATGGTAACTGGTAGGTATTTAGGGTGTAACAGAGGGTAGATGGAGGATCTAAGGTTTCGATTCCTTTTAAAACTATCCTAAACAGCTTTTCAAGTTGTCCGCTTTTCAAGTTTGGTATAACGTACTTCACTGTTCTAACGGGACCCCCACCAAAGATGCCCCCAAAGCCCTGAAAGCCATCCGAAGAAGCTCAAGGCCTTCAGCTCATGAAGAGCACTGGCCATGCAGCTATCTGCCAAAGCCTCTTCTGCGAGGGGAGCTTAATAGGATCAGGTATCAAGAATACGGGGATAAGTAGGGCAGCTATAGCTGTGTTGACTTTTAACCCCAGCTGACGTGCTTTCAACTCGACCTACTAAGTCCCCTGATCCTGTAAGCAGCAAACACAATTAGAGCCTATAACATGAACCTTTCAACTTTAAGAGTGCTTACGGAGGAGATGCATGGCCTTCATTTCTGGGCTGTTGTAGGGCTACTAGGGCATACGGGGGGGGGGGCTTTTGCGGTTCACAAGAGTCTGCAGGGTGTTGGGCTTAGGACTTCGGGGTTTAGTCTCGGGATTTAAGATTTAGTTTGCAGGTTAAGGCTCATTACAGCGGTGGGTTTGGGGCCTGGCCTTTGAGAACTGAGGGGTACCGTCTTGGACATGAGAGCTTCGAACTCCGCCTGTTTTGCTTTGGGCCTTGCGCGCTGCGGCTTCTGTGCCGGGAAGCTGATGCCGCAATGCTCCCGAAGTTTCGGCATCAAGGCCCCAAACCCAAGAAACACTGTAAAGGCTAATATCGAGGCCTTAATAATTAGAACAGGTTTTTGGGGCCATTGTGCTATACTTATCATAAGGAACCCCCAAAACCCTATTCCAATTAATGCCCCTGCATTATATAAACCCCAAAGGCTCCAAGGCCTAGAAACCCTTCAGGCCTTCTGGATGAGCTCCAGGGTGTAGAACCCGTCTTCTGGTTCATGGGGGCTGCTCCTTAGTCTCAGGTCACTACTTCAGAGGTAACACAAGGGCCTTAATAATTAGAATAGACAGACTACCATAAAGGCCACTATGGGCTTTGGAAGAAAACGAAAAGTTGAAAGGGCCTAGGGTTTAGGGTTTAGGGTGTCGAGGTTTTGCGGCTTAGTTAATACAGGGCTTGAAGGTTATGGGTCATCAGGTTTCTAGTCACTGGGATTTCAGAAAACTCGGCTATCTGTGAGAGACTCTGGTCAACCATGCGGACATTCCACGGATGTCTGGTGCCTGCGTCGCCTGACCATAAAGACACAGTCTACACCCTAAACCCTAAACCCTGAAAGCCCTTCTGAACCCTGAACCCTATGGCTGCTAAGCCAGTAGAATGTGTGGAAGAGGGGCTTCCAAGTCCCCACGGCCGACTGTCCAAAGTGCAAGAGGCCCACATGTACGGTGCAGAAGGTCCAGGGTAAACAGCCCCACGACTCGACCTTTCTGAATCCTGGCGCATGAAATTCTAAAATATCCGGGCTCAGATGCATGTCCGGACACCTTCCTGAACTGGCACTGACAAGGTTCTGCCGAGTCTGAGCTGACGCCGATACCCGAAATTACCGGTGCTTCCTGGTCCTACGCCTAATCCAAAACCCGAAGCCCAAAACCCTACTTGGAGG